GGTAATTGGAACCAGCAGCCACTCACGTGGGAAGAAGATGGAAAGACAAAATACATAGAAATAATTAAAATAAATAATTAAATCAAAAGAATAATGGATCACCCAGGATTTCAACCTTTATAACCTCTTTTTTTAAACTAATTTTAATGAAAGTTTACAGAGACTTAGGGTTTCCATTCATTCAGTGTTGCATTTTTCTCGCTGCCCACCCCCTCACCCCAATTCAATTTTCTCGTTGTTGAGTAAAAGAAAAACTCTTTCATTGTTATGTAATCCCTCCCCACAAGTCCACTGCACTGTGCAGCCTTCATTCTGGACTCCTGATATGACAATAATACCTAATTATATATCGCTTTAAAATAGTTCTCTCTCTCATCTGTTGCAATGCAGTGTACATCATTCCTTCCCTTCTTCTCTGTCTCCCCTCAATGCCAATGTCAGTCCTGTTTTACAATAGTGACATTATGCAATATTTGTCCTATTGTGACTGAGATATTTCACCCAGCATAATGTCCTCTAGGTTCATCCACTTAGCATAATATTTCACGAGTTCCTTGTTTTTTCAGTGCTCCATAGTATTCTATTGTGTGAATATACCAGAGCTTCTCTATCCATTCATTTGTTGATGGGCACTTGAATTGTTTCCAGCTCTTTGCTATTGCAAACAAAATCACAATAAACATGGGTGTGCATATACGTGACTGGGCAGCGGTTATGGTTTTTTTAGGGTAAGGTCCCAGAAGTGGAATTGCTCGCTCAAATGCTATTTTTATTTGCAACCTTTTTTGAAAGCACCATATAGCCTTCCAAAGTTGCACCATTTTACACCCACAGCAGGGAATAAGGGTTCCAGTTTTTCCACAACCTCACCAGCGTTTGTTGTTTGCTGTTCTGTTAAATTTTGCTATTCTTACTGGGTGAGCTGATATCTTATAGTTGTTTTGATTTGTATCTCTTAGAGCTAAGGATTTTGGACACTTTTTCATGTGTTTGTTAGCCATCTGGATGTTGTCTTTGGTGACCTGAAGAATTAGTTGGTGTCACTAAAAAGGCTCATTTTAGAGAGTTCTAGATAGAATGAGTCAAAAAAAGAGAACAAAACACAAAACCATGAAAATTGCCAGGATTGTTGGTTCCATAGGACATCTCCTGGCCCATGTCCTCTTTTGCCAAGAGAAATACACACTATTGAACTTTATGGTAATGGAATTGGATTTTACATGTAAAATACTAGGGAACATCCATAACTACTACTGCCATCACTGTCACCTACTTTACTTTTTATTGTTGTTGCTATTAAAAATTATGTTTATTACTCTTCTTACCACAATAATATACTCCAATCCTATGTTATTAGGATAACCTCAGCTCAAATGCTTTTATTTTTCCCTTGAGGAAATAGATTGTTTGATGGACATTTTATTTCTTTTATTACAGATTGACAGAGTCCATAGTAAATTCATTGTCAATATCAGGTTTTTCTGTTTATTACTGGTAATCAGCTGGAAAAGGGCAGATTACATGGACTAGAGAATATAACTTATATATGTTTCTTTAGTTAGAAAGGGTTCTATATTCAAGTTTTAAAATTTAATCTAATTTGAAATATCTCTATATAGCTATATAAAAGCTTCATCAATTTTTTTCCCAGGTAGGATTCCAATAAACAGAGGTACTATGATTTATTCAAACCAAGCTTTTGCTATATAATAAGTGCAGAAATGGCATCCACTTCCTAAATAACATGCCTCCGTAAACCCTATGAACTTTGCTAAATGTTAGTAGTTGTAGAGGAGCTTCAACCCTTTTGTTCACTGGGTCGCTATGAGTCATCCTCGACTTGAAGGCAATCAACAACATCAACACCACACACAAACACACAGACACACACGCACATACACACACACACACCACTCACATATTGTTGTTGTCATGTGCTGTTGAGTTGTCTGTGACTCATAGTGATTCTACGTACAACAACCCTAAACCCTGCTTTATCCTGTGCCGATTTTATTGTTTCTGACACACCAACCCCCATTACCCCAGTCATTGAATCAATCCATCTTATTGAGGGTCTCCCCCTCCAGCACTGTCCTTTCACCCTCACAAGCATGACATCCCTCTCCAAGAACTGATCCCTCCTTTCAACATGTCCAAAGAATGTCAGATGAAGCTTTAGAATCCTTGTCTCCATGAAGCAGCCTGGTTTAACCCTTTCCATGATGAACCTGTTTGTTCTATATTTATAGAGAAATACCTGCTGCTGTGAGTTAAACAGTTTGGAAATATTTGAAAGAGTCTGACATTTAAAAATTTTATTTGGGGACTATTATGTTAGAAAAAGAAGAGTTTTGAGTGATGAAGTAAATATAGAGTTTGCATGCCTGATGCAATGACCTTAGTTAATGTTTGATCTCCTGTGTTCAATGTATGTTTGCAGTTCTTATTAAATACTACATCACACATTGTTTCTTTTATATATCTCGATTTAAGTTTCATCTGTTGGTTCTGAGTCTATGAACAAATATACTCTTTTGAATTATCAAATATAACGAAGAATTTCAGCATGTTCATAACCAAATACCTATTAAAATGAGTGCATTTATAAACATTTCTGATTATCCTAATCCAATAAAAATTAGATTTCTAACAAGGTAATTATGAAACAGGAAACTTATTCTCAAATTTTTATCAAGAACTAAGATGGCTTAGTTTGGAAATTGTGTTTTCAACCTAACAGTATGCAGTTCCCGTCCACCAGCTGCTCCACAGGAGTAAGACGAATAGGTTCTGACTTGATGATGCCGAAGAACAAAGGAAGATAATACACAGCCATTATTTTGGGGAGGAGTATTAAAAAAAGAATAAGGACTGGAGCAGTACTTTGACAGAGTGCTGCCAGAAATACAAGCTGGATTCACAAGAGGCCTTTAATTGAGTGATATCCTTGCTGATATCAAGATGGATCTTGGCTGAACGCAGAGAGTATAGAAAAATGTTTTATTGATTGTGTGAAGTCAGTTAACTGTGTGGATCATAGTAAATTATGGTTAACATGAGAAAGAATGGAAATTCCAGAACACTTAATAGTGCTCCTGTGAAATTTATGCATAGACCAGGAAGTAATTGTCCTGACTGTATGGGGTAAATACTGCATGGTTTAAAATTAGGTCAGGTGTGTGCCAGGATTTTATCATTTCTCCTTACCTATGCAATCTGATTATAGAAGAAGTCATTTGAGAACTTTGACTATATAAAGAAGAATGTGACATCAGGATTGGAGGAAGATTCATCAAGAATCTGCATTATGTAGATGACACAATCTTGTTTCACAAACTCAAGACTTAAAGTACTTGCTGAGGAAGATCAAAGACAACACCTTCATTATGTGCTACATATCAAATCCATCTTATCAATGGTTTTCCTCTTTCTCTGTCCCTCCACCCTTCCAAGCATGATGTCTCTCTCTGCAAAGACCAGTGTTGTTGCAATATGCGCAAATTATGTAGACAAACCCTCACAACCCTTGCCTCAAAGGAGCAGCCTGGCTTCACCCTCTTTAGAATGAACCCCAGTATCAAGAAAACAAAGGTTCTCACCACTGGGGCAATTGACAGCACCATGATAGATAGAGAAGACATTGAGATTGTTAAAACTTCAGCTGACTCAATTCCACAGTAACCACACTTGGCTTCAGCTGTAAGGAAAACAAAAGATGGTTTACATTGGGAATATTGGCTTTTAGAAACCTCTCCAAAATGCTAAAAATACAATTATGTCAGTGTAGAGACTAAGATGCATCTGATAAACACCATGGTCTTCTCAATTACTTGCTACATATCAGAAAGCTGGACAATGACCAAGGATGACAGAAGAAGAATTGATGCCTTTGAATTGTGGTGCTGGAGAAAAGTACTGAACACATTATGGACTGCCAAGAAATCAAGGAAGTCTGTCCTGGAGAGGGAAAGCCAAGTTTCTCCTTGGAGACAGAGTTTTAAAACTCTGTCTGACATACTTTGGGCATGTTTCTAGGAAGAAGCAGTCCTTGGAGAAGGACATCATGCTTGGAAGGGTGGAGAGACAACAAAGAGAGGGAGACCCAGGATGAGATTAATTGACACTGTAACTGTGATAATAGGGGTCCATGTGTTGGAGACAGTGAGATTGAGATGGGCTCAGGCTAGAGTAGGATTCAGAGCAATAATGTTTAGGGTCACTGTGAGTTGCAAGTGACTTGATGGCACATAACAACAACAGTCAAATATTTTTACATGGTCAATATGATGCCAAGAGTCATTCTTTTGCTATTCTTTGCTTTCAGCCAGGATCCATCTGACATCAGCAATTATATCCCTGGTGTCATGTCCTCTTCTAAACTCAGTCTGAATTTTAGGCAGTTCTTTATGTAGTATACTAGCCATTTTGTATAATCTTCAGAAATTTATTTTGTTTGGTAATTTCCACATTTTGTTGGACCATCTTTCTTAGGAAGGAAACAAACATAGATCTCTTTGAGTCAGTCAGCCACATAGCCATCCTCAAAATTTCTTGGCATAGATGGCTGAGCATTTTCACAGATGCACCTGTTAGTTGAAGCTTGCCAGTTGGTATCCCTTTTATTTTGGGGGCCTTATTTTATTTTTTTTTGCCAAAGTGTTCAGTGCAGCTTCAATATCTTCCTTTATTACCATTGACTCTTGATAATACAGTTTTTTTCACTCCACCCTTCTTAGCTTGATGTCCTCCTTTAAAGACTCCTTCTTCCCGGCCACATGCCCGAAGTATGTGAGATGTAGCTGCAAAATCCTAGCCTCTAAGGAGAGGCTTTGTTTCTGGAGTGGCATGACAATCAGGGGCCCCAGCTTAAATCAGTTTGTGTGCAGTGGAGAGTGGGGTGTTCAAGTAAGCTCTCTTTCTCATAGAAAGCTGAGAATGTCTGACATGCATTAGTTTTAAGTCTTACTATGCTATTGTTTACTCTTCTTTAATTTTTTTAGATGGCTGGAATCCATTTTCAAACCCATATAAAAAATTGGATTTTGGAAAATGGGAGCTTTACATTCCACCAAAGCAGGATAAATCACCAGTGGTGCCTCATGGATCCAAATTAAAGGTATATCAGTCCAATCTATTTTTATTTGAACTTATTTTTATTTTAGTAATGTTTGCAATGTTAGTTTTTAATATTCGAATGTACAGTCAAAGCTTTAAAATTACAAGAGAAACAGTCTAAATTTGCATAGATAGAACTTGGAAAGTGGAGGAACAAATTGGTATGTGAATGTGTTTGATTACAGCAGTTCACCTCACAAGATATTATTATCAGAGCTTTAGAAACCATATATATATAATGAGTAAGAAATTGTAAGAGTTTAGCTTATGAAACATAAAATCTAGTTAAAAAGCAAAAAAAAGAAAATCAAGAAGCAAAAATCCCAACTATCTCTTCAATTCACAAGATTGAGAATTTTTGCCTGAAAATAAAATTTTGGTGAAATAAATTGTGGAAAGAGATACATATATGTGGAGGTAATATTGTGTTGGAGAATTTTGCATTTTGGAGAGAAGGATTTCCAGGATGTGTTACTTTCTGACCTCTTGTTCTCTTGTGGGAAAGGCCACCTGTGTTAACCTGGAAGCTTGTCTGTTAGAGGCAGAAGGAGCATCCTCCATGCCCTCTGTTTTGCCAGTGGTTCTGTTTTCTGAGTCTGCAGGGCAGACATAGCCTGCCTCTGCAGAATTCTGATAGAGTGATTGAGGGATGAGTCTCAAAATCTAGAGTAAAATGTTAAAGAGTTTATTTATGTAAATGGTTATTTCAGTCCTTTAATATTTACTTGATTTTTTAGTTAAAATAATTTGCCTCTTTTCCTTTCTTGGATATAAAGTAACATTGCATGGATTGCATGATGGATTCTGTGATTGAACTAATACTTTGGGAGCCTTTGTTATTTAACAATATTAATTTAGAGTTTCTTACCTTATATTTACCAGCAAATGCATAGTTTTGTTTTATTTTTTATAAGATTATAAATGTATATAGAACTTACTGGAATATTGCCACACAATATAGAGTTACCAAGAGAGTATATTTCCTGAAAAAATAGACATTTTACCTTGGGATGGCAGCCAAGATTCTTTTTAATCTGTAGTGAATAAAAGATAAAGAGTAGCTATATTATACAATAGGAAGGATTTTACATTAATATAAGTAATCTCTTTTCATGTCTATTTAAGCTCCATGAGATTTGGATTTATACTCTTTTGTTTGTTGCTTCTGTGTATTCCTCATTCTTATACTGGTACTTGGCACAGAGTAGTCAAGAAATATTTATATGAATTATTTATATTAAAGTTGCTTTACAGCTCAGCCTTTAAAGGAAAAAATTACCTTGCTTTATTTTTTTCCAGTATTTATGAGGACTAATTGTATGGGAGCTGAATGGCAAGGCAATTGTTATAAAATTGTACTGATTCCTGAGCTCTGGTGGACTAGTGGCAAGAAGCTGCACTACAGTTCCAAAGGTGTGCAGTTCAAATTCACCAGATGCTCCACTGGAGAGGGAGGGACAAACCTCTGTAAATCAGATCTGATTCAACAGTACATATGTTAAAAACAAAACAAAACAACAACAAAAACAACCAAACCAAAAAAACCCCCACCCCCAAACAACAAGTACTGATTCCATTGGTCTATATCTTTGTCATTATACCAGTACCATACTATTTTGGTTATTTCAAGAACGTAGTAAGTTGTTTTGGTTGTTTTTTTTTAAATTTTAATTCATTTTAATGAAAGCTTACAGAGACTTTGGATTTCAATTCATTCCTCTTACACTTTTCTCCCTACCCACCCCCACCCATCAATTCACTTTCTTTTTGAAAAGTAGAAGGGAAAAAAACACAAACTTTCATTGTTATTCAATCCCTACCCCCAATCATAGTGAAGTGGACTGGTGGGGAGGAGTGTAGTAAGTTTTAAGATCTGGGAGTGCTATGCCTCCCACTTTAGTCTTGATTTTTAGAAGTGCCTTATTTGTGCGAGGTCTCTTTTCCTTTCCAAATGAACTTTCCAATTGCATGTTCTATCTATATAAAAAGTGACTTTGGTATTTGTATTTGGATTACATTAAACAGATAAATGTCTTTTGGTTGGATTTTTATTTTCACTATATTGAGTCTTCCTATCCATGAACAAGGAATAATTTTTCTCCATTTATTTAAGTTTCTTATTGTTTTCCCCAGTAGTGTTTTGTAGTTTTTTTCATAAAAGTTTACTACCAAGTATCTCAATTTATAGCTAGCTATCCAAAACCAACTGGATTATTACTTCAGCAGAGAACTGCCAGATGTAAAATCTGGGTTTAGAAGAGGCTATGGCACAAGGGACATTATGCTGTTGTTGTTATGTGCCATCAAGTCGCTTGCGACTCATAACGACCATATGTACAACAGACCTAAACCCTGCTCTATCCTGTGCCAATCGCACTGCCTCTGACACTCCCATCCCGATTACTCCAGTCACTGAATCAATTCACCTTATAGAGGGCCTTCCCCTCCACCCTACCAAGCATGATGTCTCTCTCCAAGGACCGGTCTCTCCTCACAACATGTCCAAAGTATGTTAGACAGAGCATCACAATCCTTGCCTCCAAGGAACCACCCAGTTTAACCCTTTCCAGGATGAATCTTTTTGTTTTCCTAGCAGTCCATGCTAGGAACTCAATACTCTTCCCTAGCACCACAGCTCAAAGCATCAATTCTCCCTCTATCCTCCTTGGTCATTGTCCAGCTCTCTGATACATAACAAGTGATAGCCAAGACCATGGCCTGTATCAGATACACCTTAGTCTCCAGAGAGACACCATTGCTCTTCAGTAATTTGGAGAGGTCCCTAACAGCAGACTTTCCCATGGTTATACACCTTTTAATTTCCTGGCTACTGGTGCCAAGAATGTTGACTGTGGAGCCAAGCAAACTAAAACTGTGAACAGTGTCAATCTCTTCACCATCCATCCTGATGCTGCCAATTATAGCCAATGCTAAATTATTCTTAGCTGAAAGCAGAGAGTACCAGAGGAATGTCTATCTGTGTTTCATTGACTATGCAAAGATATTTGACTGTGTGGATCACATCAAACTGTGGCTAATCTTGATAAGGATGGTAATCCCACCTATTCCAGAAGGCTTAGCCTCTGGTATAACGAGAGTGGCAAATAGTCAGAAATACACAACTAAGAGAGGATAATGTCAATGACTGAATGGCTATTTCAAAAAAAGTCAATCCCTGTGTACATAACGAAATTTTCCTATAGAGTGTAAGGTAAGAAAGCTAGCTCACTGGGAACAAACTTGGCAATGTCATCTCAGACATAGGTCATGGCAAAAATTTACAGAATTCTATAGGACCTCTCCAAGGGACAGACTGAAAACCCAATTACAAGATGGGAAAAAGACACAGAAAGATGAAACTATTGAGATGACTAATGGACACATGAAGAGATTCTCAAAATCACTGGCAACAAGAGATAGGTAAAGCAAAACCACAATGATGTACCATCTAACACCTACAACAGTGGCAAAATTTTATAGGACAACAAGCAAGAAATGTTGGAAAGGCTATGGAGAGATGGAAACTCTCATACATTGTAGGTGAGATTGAAGCTGAACATAGAAAAAAAGTTGAACCCAGCTATTGCACTGCTAGGAATATACCTTGAGGAAAATGCAACTGAGACACAAATGTAGATTTGTTCAACAATGTTCATAGCAGCATTATCCACCACAGTAAAAAAAAAAAAAATTAAAAAAAGGAAACAACCAAAATATCCATCAACAAACAAATGGATTGAGAAAATTTGGTACATTCTCATGATGGGATACAATGCAACACTCAGGAGCAATGATTTTGAAAAAATTAGTATATAACATGAGAGAAGCTGGAGAACATTATACTGAGTGTACTAACTCAGCCTCTTAAAGACAATAGTACATGAGACCATTATTGTAAAAATAGAAGTATTACTAATAAGATGTGTACCAAAGTCCAAAGAGAGAAAAGGGGAAGGGGAACTGGGGGAGAAGGAAGGGGAATCTCAATGCCACAGAGTTTGGGCAGAACAAGTAGGTGAAGGAATTAGGAAAGATTTAAGTCAGGACCTGAAAGGTGGGGTAATGATGGGTATGGATGAATGGTTATTAATTTTATATTAAAATGTATCAGAATGATAATGTGAAACAGCGTGAGTGGAGAAATGCATGAAACACAGTATGTACAAATGAAAAGAACATGACTTTTGTACATGAACCAATATAAAATTGAAAAAAATGAAAATCATTGTACTAACTTCTTTCTTCCTTACTTTTTAAAAAATTAGCTTTAGTATTTTTTTAAAATATTATAGAATTATTTTTTGGCTCCATCAATTATAAAATTTTCTAAACGATGCCGGTTTACCTACTTTATCAGTCTAATTAATGAATTAATTGCAATATATTGTTATTACACTTGGAGAAAATAATGGAATAGTGTCATATTTATTATTTGCTGTTGAACTGGTACCAACTAACTCATAGCTCAACCTCCAGGGGGTTTGCAGAGGCTGTAAATCACAGAGGAGGATATTTCCCATCTTTTTCCCTATAACAGCCTGAGAAATTCTAGGGCCAGTTTTACTCTGTGTTACAGGGTAGCAATGAATTATAATCACCTTGCTGATAATAGATATCACAACCTCAACAGTAACACAAGCTGCTTTCCTAGTGGTAAGTAGTGGAACTGTCAACCCTAAGACACGAGATTTGACTCTACCAGTTGTTCCATGAGAGACAGTTGGACAATTTTCTCCTATGTAATATATAGCTTCTGAAAAACTGAAGGGTTAGCTATGAGTTGATTCTGAACCAATGGCAAATAACAACAGCACTATTCAATTGTCTTTATTCATGTGTAAAAGCCATATATTGACTCTAATCCATTAACTGCTCCATTTATAAGGGAGCTCTGGTGGTCAAGTTGTAAGGAGTTGTGCTGATAATCCAAAGTCACATGGTTCAAATCTACCTGCTGCCCCACAGGAGAAAGATGGACAACCTCTTAAGATTTCCAAGACT